ACTTCAAATTTCATCAACATCCATTATGTGTGAATATGCTTTCTTCTATTATCTATATTTGTTTGGCTCATGCAAAAATTGCATCCATCCAACAACACTGAATAAGATGAATGTTTAATAAAATATATAAATTCACTATTCATTTCTTGACACAAATATAAAAGGTGTTGATTAGTCTTTTTCATTCCAGCATAAAAAAATTATATAAGCTAATGTTTACTTTAATAAATAAAAAATTGGGCACTAAGTAATCGCGCAACGCGCGTCATAAAACTAGTTCTTTAAGAAAGGGAAGATAGAGTAGTCAAATTAGATCGGTCAAATCACACATTTACCTTTTTCTCTTGAAGAAAGTGTTAAAATTGGGATATTTCCCAATTTATAAACCTCTAAATCGCTAAGATTTAACTCAATGAATCGCCTAATAAACATTCAATCACGCATCACTGTGAGAGTTAAAATTTATTGGAAATCATAAAGATGTTGGATTAACGGGTTGAAGAATTCAATTTTCAAGACTTATCCAAGTACAAGTAATTGAAGAATCTGATTTCTAGTTTTCATGTAGCTTCCTCCATGTGCAAGAATGATAAATGTAGGGGTGGGTCGGAGAAACCGAAAACCGAAAACCGAATCGAAAAAACCTGAACCGCAACCTAAACAACCGAACTGCAAGAAAATCGAAACCGACCTAAAAAAACCGAACCGAACCGTAGTTGTTTGGTTTCGGTTTTGGTTTTCACAACTCAAAACCGAACCGAACCGAATAAACCGAACTTTTTAAAACTTGCTATTTTATTTATTAACCATTAAATATAATATTTTATTTAGTTAGTAATTCGTCATTCTCAAAAATTAATGTTTGATACTAGATTTATTAGGATTTGTAAGATGTTGACATTTAATATATACGAAGTATGGTTTCATTAAATGAAACATTGTACATACACTTAAGTCTATTGCTACGATACTAATACATTGATATTTTAAATCATAATTTACCTTTTACTTGTTGCATGACAATGATGTTTTGTTGATATATTATATAATATGTATGTTTATTATCACATAATTTTTTATATTTAACAAATACTATTAATATAAACTATACTTTAAAACACATAGCAGAAACGTGAAGCTTCAGAGCGTAAATATCGTTGTCTAAAAAGAAAGTAGAATAAGTGACTTACTAAAAAATTAACTTGTGAATACACTGTATATAATTTGCAAATAAACTCACGTGTTTAATTAATTTAGGAAATGTTTAAATTAGTATACAATACTCTCTAATTCATTGCTTTGAAGTGCATTTGTTTGTTCTCTCTTTTTTAATTATGTATGTTTGTGTATTGTATTACTATTAATAATAGTTTGATGTAGTTAATTTTTTTGTTTTTATTTTCCAATTACTAATTTTCTAATCAACAAAAATGTTTTGGTAAAAACCAAAAAAAACCGAAACCGAACCGAAATAAATCAAACCGAACAAACCGTGGTTCCAAATATTTGAACATAAAACCGAACCGAATCGAACCGAACTTTTTACTTTGGTTCGACATTTGGTTTTAGGTGAAAACCGAACCGTTTGAACCGAACCCACCCCTAGATAAATGAAAGTTTTCTCACATCAAGGAACCACCTTCCTTACACCTTCATTGAAGTTTCCTCTTAGCTTAGCTTCGACACATTTTCCTTTCACCTTCCTAGTACCTAGTTTTGTTACTATAAATAGCAAGCTTGTAGGGTCTTTCTATCATCAAGTAAATGAGATCATAGATCATCATACCATAATCAAGTAGAGTTGTGAATATCATTGAGAGATATTAGCACGATCTTGTTATTCTCAACGTCCTGTTATTATCACCATACCATAATAAGTAACCCTGATGTAGATTATTACATCTGTTAAAACTATGACACAACAGTGATGTTGAACATTTTCTCCTCTTTCGTTATCCGTTTTTTATTTTTTGGCTAATCTGCTTTAATATTTTTCCAATTTTTTTGTATTATTTGTATCTTTTAGATTATTTCTTTTCTTATTATTTTGTATTTGAAAAATTCTAGCCGTTGACAATTGTTGTCAATACAAATGCCTTTTTTTTTCTAGTGACATTATTGATTAATGATAACGCTTTGTAATGCTATAATGATGGAGTTATAGTCTCTATATATAGGATTATTATTATTATTATTATTATTATTTATTTATTTTTTATTTTAACATCTCATTGTAAAATTTGGTGTTAGTATGAATATACTTTATGTGATGTAACGATTTCCTATACCTTTACATTATACTTTTTCTGTTTAAAATCTCATTGGTATAGTGGGGTGACAATTTTAATAATTATTACCTCAATTATTTAGACAATAATTAAATAAGATAATTCGAGTATACTTTGAAAAATAATTTTAATAAGTATGTACTATGATGAAGTTAGTATTGATAATAGTGATACTATAGATATATTATTTTTAATATTTAATGATTAACTTGACATTTAAAATTTTAAATTGTTATCTACAATAGAAAATGCGAACTTTTATGCTACACCATAAAAGCTCGGAGTATTAAGTTATTAATATAGTAAGGTCGGTGTATTTTTAGACTTTTATATTGTTTAACACACACCATAATACTTCATTTATTCTTAAATAAGTGCATTAATAATCAATTTTTCACGTTTTCCGATGCACAATTTTAACTATTAACATATACTCCGTACTACATATAATTTTGTATTGGTAAGAAAATATGAAAAATTTAAATTAGAAAATTTACAATGTGACAAATTAATTTTTTGTAAGGAAATTATTATATATCAATAAATACAGTGTAGTCAAAGCAGAATATCTTAATTAAATACTCTCTTTATTTCGAAATAAAGTTATTGATTTGACCTACAAACATATACTCCCTATGTCCCCTTTATATTGTCTCATTTTACCTTTTCGAAAAATCATACTAAAATTGTCTCATACCGGCCATATTTGATAAAGTTTGTGTGGCTCTAAATCATGCTTACTTTATTATTACTTTATCAATTAATATCAACCACATAAACTCACATTTCTTAATAAGCGTGACACCCTCTTCCGTTCCAATATAAAAGGGACGGAGGTAGTATATGTAAGATAAATTTTTGTTTGGCAAAATGGAAACTAATAATACAACCTTTTAGCGGTCTTCTTACAATAGTCTCACCTTTTGATTATTCATGAATAATCCAACCTTTGCACCTCATCTTCATTCACTGGTCCCTGACCGGTTGATGACCTGCTATTCCAAGTTATTTTCTTATCTTTGCAAAATATTATCTTTGTGAAAGGTGAGATTTATGGTATAATGGTTTGCAAAGATAAGAAAATAACTTGGAATAGTAGGTCATCAACCGGTCAGGGATCAGTGAATGAAAATGAGGTGCAAAGGTTGGATTGTTCATGAATAATCAAAAGGTGGGACTATTGTAAGAAGACCGCTAAAAGGTTGAATTATTAGTTTCCATTTTCTTTTTTGTTTTGACTTTTCAAGTATACCCTCTACTTTATGTCATATAAAACCAAAGGTTGGTAAAAAATAAGGTTGATTGTGACCTTTGAGTCAAAAGTGATTTCCTTTTCAAGAATTTTTTATTGGAATATATATAAAAGAAAAGTGGAAATCTCTTGTTTCTGAACAGTAGTAAAATCTAACATATAGCTCATCATAATTGGAAAAAGAAAAAAATATAACTCATCATTATGTAAAAAAATAATAAAAATACCCCAAATTTTGAAGAGGTGTGAAGTAAACACCCCAAACTTGCATATTGAATTTAAATACCCCAAATTTTATATAAAAAGTTATTTTTGCACTATCCTCATGTATGAGGATAGTAAGTTACAGAGTATTTATTTTTTTCTTTTTCCAATAATCTGAAAAAAAAATTAAAGGATTTTTATCAATTCAGGACCCCCAATTGGTAAAGTCCCACTAAGATTGTCCCATACCAAATTTGGTAAAGTTTGTGTGGCTCTAAATCATTCTTACTTTATTCTTACTTTATCAATTTGATATTAACCACAGAAACTCGTTTTTCTTAATAACCGTGTCACCTTTTCATGTCCCAATCTTAGTGGGACGGAGGTAGGGTCTGTTTGCAATAACTTCTGCTTTTAAAAAAGTGCCTTTTTAATGAAATGAGGAGAAGTGATTAAATAAAAGTTGATAGTGTTTGAGAAAAAAGTGATTTTGAAAAGTAAAAGTGGGTAGTGTTTGGTAAAATAAGTGCTTTTTGTGTAATAAAAAAAGTTAAAACACTTTTGACGCGGAAGCCGAGAAAAATAAAAGTTGTAGCGTTTGAGAAAATAAGTGTTTTTTAAAGCCAAAAGCTGAGAAGTGCTTTTTTAAAAGGAGTTGCAAATCAACTGGTAGTACTCCGTAACTTATCATTCATTTGGGGACAGCTAGGGGTGGACTCGGGCCGGGTGGCCCGACCCGGAATCGGCCCGGCCCGGTTACTGTTTGGCCCGGCTCGGCCCAGGGCCCGGTGGGTCCAGCGGTTCGGTTTGGCCCGGCCCGGGTGATGGGCGGTCCGGGCTCGGGCCCTGCTTTAGGCGAACCGGCCTGACCGGTTCAGGCCCGGTCCGGGCTGGATTTTTTTTTTTTTTTTGAGATTTTTTAAGTTTTGGGTTGGATTAGGTATTTTGGACCATTTGAGGTGGTTTGGGGTTGAGGGGGAGGGGTAGAGGGTTAAATAGGAGAACAAACAAAAAATGGACCAGTTTGGCCCAGCCCGGTCCGGCCCGATTTGGCCCGGAACCGGAACCGGAACCGGCCACCGGCGGTTCGGGCTCGGGCCCCAGTTTTCTGGCCCAAGGCCCGGCCGGGCCCAGGCCCGAACCGGGCCCGAACCGGCCCGAGTCCAGCCCTAGGGACAGGTCTTCTAGAGACTTCAAGTTTAGCGGGAGTGACACGTATCAAAGTCCCGCCTAATGATGACACGGAGCTTGCTTATTTTCTACTCCATCCGACGATAATCTAAACTAGGGCACCAAGAGACCTAAATTCGAATATCGGAATATGGAAGAGGGATTGCTAGAAATCCGGCCGCCGAGACTAGAAGATGCCGGCCTCGAAGATTGTGCGCTGCCACTGGAATCCATCAAAGAAGCTTTCCTCAAGGCCGCCAGCGCCGTGCGGTCGACCATTTCCCATTCGGACCACGATGCAGAGGGCAGTTGCGTGGACGATCCGTGGCTGGTCACCGGAGATTCAACTGATTCGCTCGTTGGGATTGTGGACGGCGTCGATGGAGGTCCCGGTTGTTGCGTTACCGAGAAGCGACCTGAGTTGACTGGCGATGAGGTTGTCTTGGCCGGTGCAGGCGAAAAGGAAGAGCTATCGGATGCGCTTTTGGCACCGGGATTGCCTGAAGGCGGCGGATCTTGCGTCGATGCATTGGAAGGATTATCGATCGGAGATAAGGAGAAAAAAACAAGCAAAAAAACAGGAAATCAGGATGATGATGGCCAGAACGAAGACGGGAAGACTGAGAAACCGATCCTAGTTGAAGATTTTGCATAAACCAGAGAAAAGATCATGCCGCAGTCTACTAGTCCGTTTCATTCAAAATCTTATTATGTTGTTAAAAAAAGAACCAGTCAATGTATGGCCTATCTGCCCTAATCGTATGGTAATAATAACTAATAACTCTATTTGGTGAGCAGATTAGAGTTAATCCAAGTAGTGAATGTTAATGACAAATTCAGGTTTCCATCCCCATTCTTGTTCTGCGTTCATTTGATTAATCTGGTAGATGGTGGGTATTGGACGCAAATGTGGATGCAAAAATACCAATTTATGTATTAATTTGTTAAGGAAGAATTCTTGGTGTACACGTTTTTATACCTATCAGTACACACATGTGTCTGTGAGAGTATTTTTTTGTCTGTGAAGTGCAGTCCACAGACAAAAGCTGGCTTGTTTTGTCTGTGGAAAATTTCACAGACAAAACAAGCCAACTTATGTCTGTGGACTGCGCTTCACAGACAAAAAAATACTCTCATAGACACAAGCGTATACTAATGGTATAAAAACATCAATGGATTTTACAACAGCAGCGTAGTTAATTAAGGTCGTAACAGCAGCGTAGTTAATTAAGGTCGTGTTCTTATTGATAGAAAACAGAAAGCATGACTAATGTGTAGAAAAGTCAAGCTAGAAAATGGACCCTACAATGAAATGTTGATTATAGAATGATTAGAATCACATGGACAAAAACCATTGAGCCCGCCATTAATAAAAAAACAGAGAAGAGTTGGACTCCCTTAACAAACTTCTTTTAAAGCATCATCCAATAATTGAATTGCTACACTTCTATTCTTCAGGTAGTACAACAGACTTATACTCTTCTCTGCTTGATGATATACCCTTTCTAATGCCATAAGAAACTATAAAATCATGTAGTATTTCTGAAGCACATAAAAATGCACAGGTTTACACTTTATATGGGGCATTTTTGTTACTCTTTTCAATGTTTCCGTGTTCTTAGGCCATCTGCCCTGCGGTGGTTGTTTTGAAAGTGTCCTAGAGCTCATCTTTGGTTTTGGTTCCATGCTCTTTCAGCATCTTGTTGATCAGTGTCGCCAAGTCTTTTAAGCTTGACTTTGTAGGAAGTTTTATCTACAGCAAGAACATCATTATCAAACAAGGCAACTACAAAAGTAGGAAGAACAAAAAGAAAAAGAAACACAAAACTAGTTTAGGAAGTTACCGGGTTGGATTTGTCTGTTACTGGGTAGAATAGCAATGTTGGATAGTCATCAACCTGCCAAAAATTAGCATTACACCAATGTATATTGGTCAGTCACGTGAAATACATGAAGCATTAGCTAATTTTATGTTTTCTGTTGTTATTATTCTAAATTGCATCTTGTTTTTATATTGTGGAAGCAGGGCACTGTCCTGCTCCAATATCGGTAAAAATCAACCAAATTTTGTAGACCTACCCCGAATTCAAGTTTAGGGGAGTCTGCTGCGCGAATGATTATAACCAAACAAAGAAACTGACCTGCAGTTTGGGGTGTTCATTAGCAGAAGCATCTATCCTTGCAAACACCAAATTTTCTAAACCCTTGAAATGCTTGGCCAACTTCTCCATTTGTTTGCTTGTCTTATCACAAGAGACGCACCATGGTGTGTGTACCTTTAACACAAACAAAAGTTTATGATGAAGCAAATTGGATCAAAATTCATTCATCTTAATGCAATTAATCACATTCACCAAGATCACATGGAACTGGAGCAGCATATCCTTCCTGATATAAAAACTCGAATGTTTTTATTTTCATTTGTCAAGTATGTAAGGATCTAGGGTATGATCATTAGCAATTCTGTTAATAAGGAAAGAAAGTTATAATAAGTCTAGACAAACCTCCAAAAGAATGTTTTTCTGAATGTTAAAGATCATGTCATCAAATGTCTTCCCAACCACAACCAGAATGTTTGCGTCTTTCTGCAAATTTGCATACCAGTATCATTCATCATTACTAAGATGGTTAAAACTTAAGAGGAGATGGGGGCAGCATAAACAAATCCCTCCAATTTGGCATGACGTTGGCAGAAATGGGGGGGGGGTAGGCTCTTAATTAATGAAACGGTGCACTCCCTATATAATAGGGGTGGGCATATCGGTCTCGGTTTGTTTTTTATCGATTTTCAGTTTGGTTCGGTTTGTAATGGGTTGGAAGAATGGTTAGCGAACAAAAAACATACTATCTTTCGGTTAGCTTCGGTTCGGTTCAGATTTGTTAAATAACATTTGAAGGTTTAATTGAATTTCTTTAGTTTGGTCTCCGTTTTATTCTGTTTTTCTAGGTTTCGGTTTGTTTCAATAATGTTTGGGAAAAATACTATCAAACTCAAACCAAATTGCATATGGTTCGGTTTTGGTTCAGTTAAACCAAACTGATATGTCCACCCTTAGACCTTAGTATATACCATACCTCTTATTTGTTTCATCTTTTATCTAACTTTCCTGTTTCTTGTAGCCCAACCAACTAAACATCTACTCATTTCTCTTCTTTCCTACTTCAATTCTGACTTTCATCCTTATCCAAGCTAAGCATAACCGATAGCTTTTTAGCACCTAAATGTTAGTTTTTTAGTATCTGAGAAAACATTTCCGCTAGGCATGCCAAACAAAGCTTTAGTAGTATGGAGTTGGTAGGTAAAGTTCAGCAGAAACTCACATTGTCAGGCACTGGCTGCGATTTGTAGTATGGCAATACAGTCCCATCCAGAATTCCAGAACAGAAGTCCTACAGGTTCAAAACTTTAATTACTGTAAATTAATCAGCAATCGTAAGAATATGAAAGAAAAACAGGTCAGACTAAATTATTTTACTTCAATGCTTCTTGGCGTGGCAGTGACCTCCAACAAATACTTGGAGCTCATGGTGTAATTAAAAGCAATTACCTAATAATTCACAAGTAAAAAAATCATCAGCTATCTGACTCAGCTTGGAGTACCATACTAAGGCTCTTTTTGGTAACCTTATATGTCTTATTCCGCGCATTGGTAGAACTAGATTCTCACCCGTGCAATGCACGGGGCAAAAATAAATTAATGCTACATAATGAGTAATTATATTACATAATTTGTGAGCATTATTAATTATGTGAAAATGAATGGAAAGAGTGTAAATGTAATACACAATGTAAAATTATAATTAAGAAAAATATATTTAGAACTCACAATTGGTATGAACTATGTTTAAGCATAAAAAGGATTAAATACCTTGCGAAATAAGGATTAAATAAATATTACAATTAGATTGCCAATGACTACATATTTTGAAACACTTCTTAATAAACAACATTGATAGTGTAGTTGATTCGTTCGATGCTTGACTGCAAATCAAAATTTTGAAACCCCTACATCTGGCTAACAATTTTCCGTTCCATATAAAAACTGAGTCATGAAAAATGAACATTGCTTAAATAAATGATACATGAATTCCTCAATATAGGTTTTAGATACAAAGTTCAGACACAATATTCACTCCGTTCATAATAATAATAATGAAAATAATAATAATGATAATACTAATGGTAAGATGATAACGATTATAACAATGATAAAATGATGATAATAATAATAATAGTAATAGTAGTAATAATAATAGTAATAATAATAATAATAATAATAATAATAATAATAATAATAATAATAATAATAATAATAATAATAATAATAATAATAATAATAATAATAATAATAATAATAATAATAATAATAATAATAATAATACACAATTACTCTCATTCTTCACAAGCCAAATGGGTATTTCTAGATGATATGATTCCATCCACCCGGCCCAATTCAGATCTGAATTGAAAAATGTTATCATTTCAATAAACATTAATCAGCCCAGCCCAATAAGATATTATTAAATCTCCTAAGCCCAGCGACCCAAACCTATCACACCCTATTTAAAACCTTCATCTCCTTCGCCCTCGTCATATTTTGTCATCACCTTCGGACCATCGGTCCGTCATCTCCGTTAGACCAACGGTCCTTCATCACGTTCAAACCTAACATGTTCGCCTTTTTTTCTCTTAGACGTTTGTTCTGTTTATCTTTCTTTCTCTTGAACATTTGTCTTTATCCAGGAACACGCCTTCCAGAACACACCCTTGCCGACGTTTGGAAATCTGATTAGCAATTGGCTGTTAAAGTGTACGAATTTCTATTTCCTGGCATGTCCGTTTTATGCTCTGTATTCTGTAACAGGGTTTGCCAAGCAGTGGTTTGATTTTAGAATGTTGGCTTCTTTTATTAACGTGGCCACTCACAGTTTTGTATTAAAACAGTAGTGTTTACATATATATTTCTATACGTTCTAAAGTTTTTATTTATCCACTAAAAAATGTATATTACACATACATACTAACATCTGTATGTCTTATTCTATACGGAGTATTATTTGATGATACATGCTCCTGAGTCCAGAGTGTTATCTATTCTCTTATACTCCGTATGTTTCATTATTTTGAACTCTGTTGCTTGTTGCAGAACTGTGTGTTCTGCCAGCCCGCTAGCCAGAAGAGCCTGCTATCCTACATAAGCCAACATCATTCATGTCGATTTTAGTGAATCTTAGTTCTTACTCCGTAGATGAACACAACAGTGAAGATATGAAAAATATGAGCTCATTACCTGTTCATGAAAATTTTAAGCTCACTCACCTTTGGGTTGTATTTATACTTCAATCTGTAGAGAGCTCATATTAAGCTCACTCCCATTGTTCCATTGGTGTGTATTTCTAGTGGTGTTGAAATACACTTTGAGAGTATTTATAGTTGCACAAGTCATGGTTTGAAACCGTAGGAGTGGTTTTTAACCAACGGTTCATTTGAACTTCACAATCTTTAGTCTAAGATTTTTAGTACAAATCATTTAATGCTATATAGTACAAATGTACCATGCCTTCAATGTTTATTCAATCTTTAGTCTAATATTTACCTCCGTTCTCTTTTAAATGCAACGTTGGACTTTTTGCACTATTTACATGTTCTACTTTGACTACGTTTTATTTATTAATGTAATACTCTCTCCGTCCCCTTAAGTTTGTCCCGTTTTATCTTTTTGGTTCGTCCCACTAAGTTTGTCCCATACCATATTTAGTAACATTGGAGTGGTTAGAATTCATTCTTATTTTATTTACATTTTATCAATTCAATATCAACCACATAATTCCACTTTTTCTTAAAAACCACACCACACCCCTCCGTCCCAAACTTAGGAGGACAGAGGGAGTAATATATATTTTTGAAAAAAATATTGTTAAATTTTTCTCATTATAAATTTTCAAAATTTATTTTTTAAACTTTTTTTACTAATCGAGAATTATATATATTAATGGTCAAAGTTGTACCTTGGCAAATGTGAAATGTTGACTGTTACATTTATTTAAGAACGGAGGAAGTATTTTTTTTCTCCAGAGATCTTCATAGTACAAATGTGAAACAGTAGAAAGGATGTAGACACTGTTCATAGTACAAAAGCTAATGCACAATAATTCAGCTTTAAAACAGAAAAAGCTTCTACTATGCAAACTTGAAATGACCACCATAGTACGATGTATTTAATGCACATAAGGTTAGGCTCAGTTTTTTAATTTTTAAATGGCATCGAGCCAAACAAACTGAAGCAAGCATAGAGCCACACAATGACACAAACTAAAGCTTGCATCGAGCCACACAACCGACCCAGCCTACCCATTTTGACACAACATTGTCAGCAAAGCTATGAGGACCCGACCGAACCTGCTGTAGACCCAATCTGACCCGCTGCAGATCCAACCCAACCCGCTTTAGACCCAGCCCAACCCATTGATGTGATGTTTTTGAGCGGGAACATTGTGTAAATTTTCTTTTGCTTTTGTATAATAGAAGATAAGTAGCTTTTGTCATAATTGTTTGGCTGAAATGGAGATTACCAGACATTTTCAATTCAGAAAGTTCAGCACATGCAGACACACTTCAGCCAAATAACTCTTACCAAACGGACCCTCAAATATGCAGCTAAAAGAAACTAACCACAGTGCCCTTGGGTTCTTCTAGACCAAACATAGTCACAAAGGGCTTCACAAGGTTGTCCTCTCTTATATCTGCATATATCAGCATGATCTGCATTACCGGGACGTTTGTCCGTAAGAAAAGTGCTTATGTAAAAGTAAAAAACTACAGTACGAAAACATCAGCTTTGGAACCTTAGATTTGAACTTCCTTCCAACATCTTGCAAGGGTTGAAGGAGTTTCTCGAATTCAGCTGGAACAGCAAAGACATATACCTTGTTTACAGTAGTATAGCACATAGGTTAGTATTGATGAAATTCATAATTGTATTGGGATCACTCAACAACCGGGTCATAATGCCCATGTTCAAATTAGACTAAAAATGAGATCAAGTACATTAGCTAATCTAACCCGATGGCCTTATAAACCCACATGCTTAGAATTGTTAGAATTCCATATAGACAAAGAAAGAGAAAATGATGGTTAATAAGACCTCAAGTTGACTAACTAATAGATTGAATTCAATCTTTTGGTATGGTTTGGCTTTTAGCATGATTTAACCCAAGTATGTTATAATCTGATTGAGTGACCCCAATCAAACCCAAATACCATCAAGAATAATACTTCCCAAAAACATTCTTAGTCATCAGCATGCATGAAATATACGAATAATGATTAGTCAAAACATAACTAAGGGAATTGGATTGGTCAATAAGTGGAACCTGGAGTTTTCTAGAGCTGGAGAAAACTTTCGCAGAATTAAGTTCAGTTATCACACTGACTAGGGGGAACTTGTTATCTTCTAAAAACTGCAGGATTTCATCAGCTTTCAAGGTTCCTTCTGAAATCCACGTTAATGGAGTATTGGAGTCAAACATCTACCAGACTACCCAAATGATGTATAATAATTTATGTTGCATCAATAAAAGGCATATTGCATGCTAAAAGTTGAGAATTTTTAAAATTAGGTAACAATAATAAAACTGTTTTTTGAAATAATAATAATAAAGTCTTTATTATGATGGAATAAAGCAAAATGGCTCACTAAATTGTCTGCGCTTCTTTGTTATGAAGCAGCAGTCGGCTCATGCAATTTCCGACGCGATTTTCACCATGGGTCATCCGAAACGGTCTCTCTGTGCTTTCGTACAGGGCTAAGACTGCGTACATCCGACCCCCCTTACCCCACTGTAGGTGGGAGCCTTTGCGGCACTAGGGTAATGATGATGATGATGAATAATAAAGTCTTTGAAAAATTAATATCTTGGGGAATGAAGAGGTTATACAAAATTAACCTACCAAATGAAGTGTACTTTTCAGGTTCACTTTTGACTAGACCTACAAAATGTTTAGTGGGCTTGACATCAGGAAACAAAGCCTTGAAAATCTCTAAACTGCTAGTTTCAACAAATTGGATCTCATTGTCTTCTTCTGCAGCTTTTATGTACTCTTCATAATCAGGTCCCTGAACAATCCACATGGTAGAGTTTATCTTAATATACTGGAAGTAATTATGATCAGCAATCAGAACAACAAAATTAACTTTATAATTAGGTGGCATTTTAAAACAAAAAACAACATGTATTACCTCAAAATTCTCAAATAGCCCAACTACAAACATAGAATGGTTCTTCAGAACCCCATCAACCTCATTAATGGAATTAATCCTAAAAACAGGTTCACCTGTCTTCTTCTTTGCCCAAACCACAATTTCTTCCCTAATTAACATGACAAGCAACATGTAAAGATCAATGCATTCTATGCACATCTAAAAAACACTGAATGTCTACTTGTTTACAAGCTGCGCCATTATCGTCTGCTAATTAGTCACTCCATCCTTAAAAGAGTTGTACATTAGCTAAATCCATTTTTTACATAAATAATGGCTATTTAGGATCCCTTAGAATTAATAAAATACTCCTTAAGAGATAAATGAAATACAGAAACACAAAATAAAAAAGAGAGGAAAATTGGAAGGAAAGAATTTGGGGGATGTAAAAGATAGGGTCAAGCGCAACACATTTATTTTGGATATCTAAATACATTGGGAGATATTTAAAATTATTATCTTGTTTCATTTTCCTTTGCATTTCCCGAGGTAACATGCACATACAAAAGAGGCTGCCGCTATTCTTTTGTGTGTACATTACTTTCTGAGAGGCAAACATACCCTTAATAAACCATAAAACTAAAACCTTGAAGCCAGTAGAGGTTAGGTTTTCCTTAAGGGCTTGTTTGTTTCCGGAGGGGAGGGGTGGTATTTAATTTGTTGAACTATCTCTACATTTAGATTGTTGGAAACGGAGTAAATATAAAAAAACAGTAATGAATACATGGTCTTGCTAATAAAAATTAACTATAAATTAGCTAGTTCTACTCTAAAACTATTTAAAACTACTTATAAATTACTCCGTATTAAAGTAAAAATCATTCCTCCCCTTCCCTCTGAAACCTTCAAAACAACAAACCTTAACGGTCACTTACTAAAGAAATCCTAGAAGATTAAAGAATCTTTTTTTTTTTACTTTTCTGCTCCCAATATCTACAACAATCGAAGCAAGCACTATCAAACAGGTAAACACTTACACAGAAAATCCACCAGTGTAAGGTTGAGAAGAGCCATTGACAAAAAGAAGCAATGTTGGGAACCCCTTGATCCCTAGATTGGAAGCAACCTTAGGGTACCTCTCAGCATCAATCTTGGCCATCACTATGGGACTTCCCCATTCCTTAAGGGCATTTGCGGCCTCCGCAAATTTAGGCATAAGCTCCGCACTTGTCTGGGACCATGGGGCATAACCCATGACCAGAACAAACTCATTCCCACCAATCGCACTCTTTGAGTTATCATTGTTAAGCTCAGTCACTATTCTCTGAGCTCTGCTAAGAATCTCAGCCCCAGAAGAGGGCTTTCCTTCTTCTGATTCCTCGTCTAGGGCTATCAGTTCTTCAAGGTCTTCCACGTCACCATCACTGTCGTCATCGAGTGTGGTGGGGTCAGACGAGAATGAGAGTGTGGTGAGTAGGATAATGAGTGTGAAGAAAAGGAGGGATCTTGAAGTGGGTTGTTTTGGACTGTACATGGTGAGATCTGCGTGGAATTTGTATGAAGACCGAAGGGGATGAAATGCTGGTGCCTGCAAAGGCTGCAATGGTGTTATTGCACAAAATTTAAGTCTTGAATTGTGATTGGTTTGATCGCTGACATTTTGGACCGACCATACACTAGCCCTATCACTGGCACACTTGCTGGTCTGGTCTGTTTAAGTCTGATATGATTTGGTAAAGGGAAATTCTAAATGCAGTCTCCATTTTACTAATTGCAGCCCCTAATTAATATTAATTAATTATAAATAAATATAATACCAATTATACCCTATCGTTTGTCCCAACGTGTTTCTCTTGCCGTAAGGCCGATTTCCGATGCGGCTCGGGTCTTTTATCACTTTTTCTCAAGCCTTTTTTCCTTTTAAGCTTATTCTTTTAACCCCTAGCCCCTCCTGACACCCTCCAAAAACTGGCCGGCACGTTGATGATTCCGAAGTCGATGGTGAAGTGGAGCAATGAAATTCATGGGTGGGACTGTGGGAGTATTTGAGTCGGTCAACATAAAAGGAAAAATCAATTTTCCACAGCAGTTACTTGCGTAGGTGGGAGTTCTTTTCCTGTTTGGCCTTTTTTGTCAAGTGATATGAATCACAACAGATAGAGGTGGATTAAGTACTCCGTATATGTGTAGCTTCGTTTTCAGGGGGTCTTTTTAATCTGGTTAGAACTTAGAAGAACAAGATAGCTGGGTTGGGATAAATATGTATTGGAGATGATGATTAGAATGAGTACCGGAGTACGTAGTAAGAAATTAAAAAGCTCTTCAGTAACGTCGATGTGATGGCGAATGAGGTTGGGGCAAACCACAAGGATAGAATAGACATTAGATTTATATTTAATTAAATAATTTTAATTAGAGGCTGTGTTTAGTAAAAGAGGGGCTGCATTTAGAATTACCCTTTGGTAAACGTGTTATCTTTTTGAATTTTATAACTATGAAACTCTAGTTGGGTCTATTTAAGTCTGGTCTAATTTGGTGTAGTCTACTTAAATCTAGTTTGGTCTGATAAGAGACTGAAAACAGTCTAAAAGAAAACGTCTAAGTGAGACACTCATTCATTGACAATTTGAGTAGCATGTAAAATGTTGTGCACAACTTACTGTGTGCAATTTGTTGTGCACAAAAGATGATTGTAAGCGAGATCTTGATTCGTATGTACTACATAGTAGATTTAGGTCTAGTACTATGTACTCGGCTAAAACTTGACCAAGTTTGACTGGTAGAACATTAATGAAATAAAAATTATGTATTTGATGTTTGTGTAGATGAGAGAGAATTAACTAGAAATCTAGAACATTTTTCTATTTTTACTTAAAAGAGAAAATGACAAATAGTGTAATAACCAAAAAAGAAAAGAACAAAATTTTAACAGATTAAAGGAGTACTCCGTAATATATTTAGAAAGGGAAATTGCTCTAAAAGCCCATTAAATAGTACACGTAATTGATTCTTTGAGAGCAAAATTGAGTGGTAGTTATCATATTTTAAAGTTTGGAATGTCGCATTTCATTTGTTTAAATTATGGTAAATGTACTCCTTTTAAGTTTTAAGTGTGAGGATCACATGAACAATAATTCACACAATTGAAGAATGACATTTACATTTTACATATTTGAAACATATTCTACATTTCAACATGATCGATGTTTGACTGGAATTGTGATATCCCCTATTTATAATATTGTCGAGTATCATTTAACCATAATATTATAACAAAAATGTTGTTTGTACCCACTATTATACTCACTTTTGTACCCACCTATGTTTGTGAAATGCTTTTTTATGTGAACCCGGGTTCACAGACAATATTTTGCACAAACCAAATATTGTCTGTGAATCGGATTCACAGACAAAAAAAACAATTCACAAACATGATGGGTATACGAATGAGTACATTTGTTAATATTACTCCGTATAATATAGCCTAACGAGATTAAAATCACTTTAAAATTTCATTGCATAACATAACCAATGGTGATAGACTTCTTACGGGGATAAGAATGTGTCATATCTTCCGACGCAGTGGTCAACGTCGGATTGCCCGCAGTTGACCATCGAATCATTCAATATGTATTGTCAAGTTAACAATCAGGAAGAAGAAGTGAATTTCAAGGACAGGCCAAGTTTGTGAAGAAGAAATGTCGTAAATAATAGAAATAGTGTAAATGATAGAAATATTGAATAAGAAATAGTGTTAATGATAGGAAAAAACGAATTTGGTGGTTTATATGAAGGTTTAGGAGTGATTTGTTCGTGATTAGAATTGACCTTATTTATTTTTGCATTCAGCAAAATAACTTACACTACAAAAAAACAGCGTTATAGTCACGGATTTTAGTCACGGATTTCGTCCGTGACTAGTTTAGTCACGGTCTAGTCACGGACTAGTCACGGAAATTTTAAAAAAAAAATAGTCACGGTCAGGACCGTGACTATGACCGTGACTAATGTTAGTCACGGTCGTGGGCCGTGACTTAATTCCTCCGATAGGCCCATTTCCGTTTCCGGCGCAGTTTTTTTTATTCCGACGACTTAGTCACGGCCAAATCCGTGACTATGCCCGTGACTATAATTAAAATTTAATTTTTTTCAACTCCCTTAGTTAATTCGCAACGGCATTATGTACGGATAATTGTAGTCACGGTCATATCCGTGACTAGTTCCGTGACTATGTTGATTAACACGTCATTTACACGTAATTAACACGTGTTGGACGCGTATTGGACACGGTTTTGCTTAGTGACGGACAAATCCGTGACTAAGTCCGTGACTAAATTTTTTATATATGCAGGAGCAGCTCATTCATTCAACAGAACCACACCAATTCATTCCCAGTATATACAGTATCCGTAGATCGAAGGATGTAGTCTATCTTCTATCATTTTCCCTGTTTATGCAGATAAGGTATGTTATTTGAATTATAATTTTTATTTAGAATTAGTTGGTTCAATTTAAATTATTAAAACTATTAAATTAGTGAGGTTGTTAATTAATTAACAACATGTTTTAACTATAAGCGTAGTAATGTCATAAATTAGAATTAGTTAAACTTTTAGGTTTATAAATTAAAATAATTTAATTAAAATTAGTTAGATAAATGTGGTTTAAAACGTAATGATGTTTATGTTTAGTGAAATTAGTTCAAATAACGTACGTTAGTAATGTGTTAATTAAGTGAATTGTGAATTGTTATTGTGAATTGTGTATTGCTTATTAATTCAAATAACTTTATATACATGTTCAAATTATTGGGTTGAATTTGGTCATATTATTTAATTTAGTGAATTGTTAATTGTGTATTACTAATAAGATTAAATGTCATTAACGTAATAATTTAGTGTAGGTTTAAACGTAGGTTTACAAAAATAATTTAATTAAAATTCGTTTGGTAAACGTAGGTTTGAACGTAGCTATTGATGTGTTAATTAAGTTAAATTAGGTAGCTAAACGTAAGTTTAAACGTAGTGATGCATTAAAAGGGGACGGAATGAACTAGTTAAATTTATTTAAATTTAACTAAATAAATTAGTTAGATTTAATTAAACGTATGTTTAATATAGTGAAATTATCTGCATTATTGTGCATTAGGGGACATATATTTTGTGCATAACTAAGATGTGAATTCTGTGCATTTCATTTAAAAAAAGTGAAAATTAGTTGATTATATTTAGTGAAATAAATTACTTAAAATTGTGTGCATTGCATTTCATCTAATTTTTTATTATAATATTCAGGCATAATGTATAAAAAAAATAGAAGTTGGATGTATGATAAAGATGCGGTATTGTACGGAATGCAATCAAATTTTCTCGAGGGAGTCGGAGAATTTATTGAATTTGCACTTGAACATCCGGCTTATATGAGTGGTGATAAAATAAGATGTCCATGTTCAAAGTGTAAAAATCTCAAATTTAAAGACCCACACGAAGTTGGGTATGATTTGTACGCGGTCGGTTTTGTTCCCAATTATTATAATTGGACTTCTCACGGCGAACCTTTAGATCCATCTGTTATACCACAAACGGTAGGTTCGTCTCGTTACGTCCCTCCAGAGATGAGTGCGTGGGGAGACCGTGCTGAAATGAGGTGGGACCAACAAATGGTATATGACGCATACGGTGTACCGTCTCAATTCAACCCCCCACAACCACCTAACGACCCCCCTGAAGCCTCAACCTCGTATCAACCAGATGCGGATGAAAATCCGACATTTTATCAACCTTATGTGGATGAAGGTTTGGCTGAGAGATTTCAGGATGTTCTAAAAGCTGTCGACCAACCCCTGTATGCTGATTGTGAGGGATACTCTCAGCTTTCCGCTGTTACTGAGTTCATGAACATAAAAGCCGAATACAGTCTCCCTGAAACTTGCATGAATAGAGTCTTGCAGTCAGTAGGAGGGATGCTACCGCGAGATCATACCCTTCCCGATTCATATTACCACATGAAGCAGTTAATGTCTAAGTTGGGGCTACCTTGTGTTGAAATTGATGCGTGCCCGGAAGGATGTATGTTGTTCTGGAAGGAGGATGAGGCACTTGAGTTCTGCAAGTTCTGTGGTGGAGACAGATACAAACCTGTTCGTCAAAATAAAATGAAACCACGACATAGGTCTGCACTGTCTAAACTGTATTACCTCCCAATAGCTCCTCGACTGCAAAGGATGTACGCTTCGACTGCTACTGCGAAACACATGACATGGCATGTTGAGCACGAAACCAACGAGGGTATGATGGCTCACCCTTCGGACTGTGAAGCCTGGAGACACTTTGACCGCTGTCATCCTCAGTTTGCTATGGAGCCACGAAATGTGCGGCTGGGATTGTGCTCAGATGGATTTGCTCCTTTTGGCAGGTTTGGCAAGAACTATTCATGTTGGCCGGTCATGTTAACACCTTACAATCTCCCTCCCGACATGTGCATGAAAAGTCATTTCATCTTTTTGTCTTTAATTTGTCCGGGTTCCAAGGATCCTGGGCGAAAGATAGACATTTATCTCCAACCCCTTATCGAGGAGATGAAAGAACTGTGGGCCGTTGGGACACCAACTTATGATGTTTCATCAGATAAAA